AGGTCCCCAGATTCCTCAGTACCACCCAGCTGCCATGGTGAGAGGTGGGCTGGCAGTGGGAGCCAATAGTTTAATATTTTTAGGACCCCTAAAAGCTGCTCCTGAGAGTAGTAGAAAGGAATGGAGGAAAAAAAACCCCAGGGCTCCAGTGGGTTTTGGAAATTTTGGGGGTTTTGGAAACTGGGATTTCCAGAGGAGGCTGTGCAATGAGACAGCTCAAAACACCCCACTGTCACATGGATGGGTGTGGGTTACCCTGTCCCAGAAGAAGGGAGCTGAGCTCATTGTCAGAAGGCAGGCTGGGGAGGCTGGGGACAAGGAAACTGAGTACATAGCACAGCCCATAACGTCACACAGCCCAGCACAAAAGACACCACATGCACAAACAACCCAGTTTTCCTCCTAGAGATGCCCTGTGTCCCACGGGAGAGGTTTCCTGACAAAGCCAGAGGCTGGGCAAGCTCTGATGTATCCCCATTTAGTGGTGCCAGAAGCAGCCACTGGGTGCAGTGCCAGCCTACCTGCAGGATGTAGTTCTTCCAGAGCAGCAGCCTAAACTGCCTGAGCACAACCATCCTCCCATCAGAAGGGGGCCAGCGCCGCCACCACCACTCCGCAGGACCCTGGAGGAGCGAGAGGAGAGAGCTGTGAGTGCCAGCTGCTGGTGGAGCCGGGCTAGGAGGGCAGCATCCCACACCCCACACGGCCCAGGGCAGCTCTCTGCTCCCAGCCTGGAGCCACAGCAGCTGGTTCGACCCCAGAAATAACCATTGTGCATCCCTGCCTAAGAGTAAGAGCCCGTGGTTTCTGGCATGGCTGTTCCAGAGATGGAAGCTGTGTTTCAATATCCAACCCGGGTCCTTCCCAGCAGGGGACAGGAACAGCTTTCCTCAAGCTGCAGGAGCACAGGGTTACAGAACTGCAAACACCAACCAAACTCCTGGCAGCCCATTATTTTGGGTTGGGTGGAGATTCCAAGCTGTGCCTCCACTTCCTGCCGTGTGGAGGGTTGGTTCTGCAACACTCGGTGCTTTGCCAGCAGAGACTTTGCTGGGAGAGGCGAGGATGAGAAAAGGGCAAGGGAAGCACAAGGGAAGGTCGGTGCTTGAGAAGGATCCCCCGCTGCCTCCTCCCCTCTCAGGAAGTTGTTTGTGTCCCCATTTGCAGCGGCATTTCCTGTCGGAGCACTGCTATCCCACCAGGACACTGGCTGGGATTCTGGGCTTGCAGAGCAGCACAGAGAAGGAAGGGGCAGCCCTGGCACCAGCAGAGGCTCCTGCTCACACTGCCAGACTCTGGGCAGCCCCCACCAATCCGTGCCAGCTTCCAAACACAGCAAATCCCAACAGGATCACAGCGGAGTCAGCTCCGAGCTGGAGCTCCAAAGCCTGGCAGCACTGAAAGCTGCCACAGGGACACGGATGGGCACATAACCCATGAGCAACGCCCTGGCAGATGCTCCACAGCACGATCTTCAGCCCTGGTTGGGATGATATCAGCTCCCTGGATGCAGCTGGCACCCAGCAAGCCCAGCAGGGGTTTCAGGGTGCCATAGTGAGAGGAGGGGAGGTTGCTGACCCAGCCTGCCAGCCCTGGCTCCTGGGCTGGTGAGCACACACGGCGAGCACAGCTCCAGTGGCAACAGAGCCACAGCAACAGCAACCTGAGACACACGCAGGGCACAGCAACAACACCCACCCACCTCACCTGCTCCCTGCCACCAGCTCCTTGAGCTCTCCAGGAGCCTTCTCCAGCCCTGGCACACACCTTCATAGGATCAGCCCTAAACCCAGAAGCCTTCTCCTGGCTTTGCACACACCTTCCCAGCCCCAATGCTAAACCCAGATGTGTTCTTAGAGCACAAAAAACCCACCGTCTCTTTGCCACTCCATGCACAGAAGACAGATTCCCACAACAGCAGGGACATCTGTGTTCAAGGATCTTTCTCCAGGCAGGAGAAAGCAGAAGAGATCTTATGCTTCAGCCCCAAATGTCCATCAGAACCCCTGCCCAAAGCAAGCAGGAAAGGAATAGCAATGGGGAAATGGCAAAAGCACCTTCAAGTGCCTCACCAAGTGCTATGTCTCCAGCTCACCTCTGGCCCACGTGTGGCCAAGCAGAACAGTCCATGCTGTGCCACAGGATCCCTTAGCAGGTGCCCCGGGCCCACACACACCTACTTCACACAGCAGTATCTGAAACACCCCCAAATAATCCCCCCCACCCCCAAGCAGAAAGCTTTGTCATGCACACCCTTGAAGGAATCCAGAGCAAACCAAGGGACTCAAAGTTGTGGCTCACTTGAAAGAGGACAAATGCTGCAGATCATGCAGGAGCAGCTGCTGCCCTCGCCGAGATCCCAAATCCTGCTCGCCCTGCCACACCCTCGAACTCAAGCTGCCCCCCACGACTGCCCCCACGGTCTTACAGCTGCTGCCAGGAAAATGTCAAGCAGCTCTTGGGTAACACAAACACTATACAACGACTGAAGACTGCATTATTGCCAATAAATATTTTCCCAGTTTTCAAGTGTTCCAGGAAAACTCGTTCTGGACCTTTTGCTTGCTGGAGGTGAGAAGAGAAAGCTAAATTACAAAAGTTCTTACTGGATTTGAGAGCAAAATGTTTTTCCAGGCTCTCGTATCCAAAGCACAATTTTTTTTTTTCCAATCCAAAAGAGAAAACCTATTTTGGGAGATCTGCCTGGATCAGCCCTGAGATGTCTATGATCAGGGCCCAGGTCTATGTCTGGGCCCATCTTCAGCAGTAAGGGAGCACTGAGTGCCCCAGGTGGATGATGACCTTGGAGGCAACAAGGTGCCTTGCTGGGCAGTACCTTGGGTTGTCCCCGCTGGAGATGCTCCCACCTGACCTCAAGCACTACAAGATAAGACTGAGTTTCCCACCAAGAGGCAGGGCCAAAGATCTGGGAGGAGAGAGAGGCAACCACCACCAGCTTCTGGGAGAATAACCCAGTTCCTCTCCCTGCTCTCTTCATCTGACCACAGCAGGAGGAAGGGCCTCCTGAATACATGAGTATGGACACACCCTGGCCATCCTCAGGGAGGTCAGTGAGGAAGGAGACCCTCCTGCTTGCCCACAGCCTGCATGAGTGAATATGAGACTGGTCCTCACCACCTGGTCCCCACCAGCCCCTGCCGCAGTACCAAGCTGTGCTGAGTAACATGGTGGCACCAGCCGCCCCCCTGGACCACAGCTGTTCTGCCAGAGGATTTAGATGTGGACAGGCTGAGGATCGGCAGGGATCAGGGTCACAGCATCCCACCTCCTGACCCACCTCCACACCCCCTTGTCACTGGGAGGTGGCTGTGCCTGGCCACCACCTCAGAGGAAAGGGCTGAGCAAAGGCCACGTGCTCCCGGGAGCCTGCAGTTATTTTAGAGCACACACCGCATTTCTGCTCTTCTGATGTCCCGTTCCCATAGAAACCAGCCCTGGAAATGGCAGACGTTGCCTTTTTTAATATAAACCCGGTGCTTCTTCCTGCTGGTTGACAGAGACACCGTGTCACCCCTACAAAATGAACTGCCAGGTGCCTGCACCTCCGCAGCTGTGCCCGGGGTAGTGGCATCACACACCTGGCAAGGGCTGTCAGTCCCTGGGTACTTTCCACACTGTCACTGGAGCAGGAAATTCCTCTCTGCATCCCACAGTGTCTGTGCTGGAAATTAATCAGCCACAGCAGGGCAAGGACTTTTTATGGCCACTGTTCACAGGAAGAGTGAGTGATTTCCGACGTGGGTGCATCCAGCAAGTCCCAGGTCCTGCAAAGAGCAACCAGGGCCAGCAGCCACCAGACCAGCCATGAGTGTTCAGTGACACACAGCTCTCACTGCTGGGGTGTTTTCACCTTCTCCCAGAGATCTGGGAGTCACAACAGAGTGAGACCATAAAAACCTCACCTTGGTTGTGCAAACAGTAATAAAACTTTCTAAGAGGCTGTAAGGATGGTGGGGTGCTGGGTGGGGTGCTGCAGGGACCAGTGACCTCACAGCCCTCTACAAACCCAACACCCAGTGTCCGACATATAAGGGAGTCTGGGTTTGACCCAGACAGGAACTTCAGGCCTTGAAATAAAGAAGAAAGCTGGGGCTGGATCCTGTTTGCAGAATGAGGGTCTGGCTTGTGCCCAGCTGCTGGCCTGCACTGGGAGTTGCTCGGTGGGCACAGGGAGCCTGATGGGCTCTATGGTTGAGTCTGTAACTGCCTTTGTGCTGGGTCGCAGGAGAGGGGGGACAAAACTGCTGCAAGGGCTGGTCAACACCTTTGCCTTAAAAACAACATTGCTGGTTTGCCCAGTGAGTTTGTAGTTGTTCATAAAACTACAAACTCTGCAAACTCACTGGCCTCATGAATTTAGCAAGAACAAGGTCTGGAGCCCAACACACGGGTTTCTCATGGACCTTTGTACAACCCTGCTCCTGCCCTGCAGTTCTCAGTGGCTGGGCAGGACAGGCCACCCGCGCAGCTGTGAGCAGAGGACAGGGAGATCCCTTCTGCTTCTACTTGGTTTTGAACATTTCCAGGGATGGGGACTCCACCACTGTCCTGGGCAGCCTGTTCCTGTGTCTGACCACCCTTTCCGTGAAGAAATTTTCCCAACATCCAACCTAAACTTGCCGTGGCACAACCTGAAGCTGTCTTCTCTTGTTCCATCACTTGTTCCCATGGAGCAGAGTCTGACACCCCTGCCCCCCCACCGGCTGCACCCTCTTGTCAGGGAGTTGTGGACTGAGAAGGTCTCTCCTGAGCCTCCTTTTCTTCAGGCTGAGCCCCCCCCGCTGCTTCTTATTAGACTTGTGCTCCAGACCGTTCCCTTCCCTCGACACGCTCCAGCCCATCAAGGTCTGTCTTGGCATAAGAGACGTTTCCACACCAAGGCAGGGCTGCGGGCCGCAGAGGGGCCGGCAGATGGCCCCTCGGTCCCCGCAGCCCCGTGTCCGTTCCCCGGCAGGGAGGGGTGGCCGAGCTCCCCCGGGATGCCGGTGGCCCCCAGCCAGCCGCAGCCCCCGAGCGCGGCCGAGCATCCCCGGCGGAGCCCGCGCGGCGCCGCCTCCATCCCGCGCTCCCCTCCGCCGCAGCCCACGGGGAAGCGAGCCGCGCAGGAGGCACCGCCGGCACCGAGCCCGAGCCGCGCCGGAGCGCGGAGGCGGCAGCGGGAGGAGCCGGCCAAGGGCCCCGGCGCTGCCGCAGCTGCGGGCGGGGCCGCCCCGCCGAGCGGACAAGAGGCCGCGGCCCCACGCATCCCCCGTCCGGCCCGACCCCCCGCTACTGCTGCCATCACTCCCCGATGCTCGTCCCCCCCGGCGCCCACCACCCCCGTGCCGGTGCCGGTCCCGGCACCCATCCCTCCCCGCTCACTCACCGGGCCGGGCGGCTCCGGCTCCGGCTCCGGCTCCGGCTCCGGCTCCGGCTGCGGCTGCGGCTCCGTCCGGCCCCGCCCGCGCCCGCCGCGGGACCGCGGCACCGCGCACGCGGCGGGCGGGACCGGAGAGGGGCGGGACCGGGACAGGGTGAGGAAAACCGGCCGTGAGTGGGTGTGAGTGTGAGCGTCAGAGTGTGAGTGTGTGTGTGAGCGTGAGAGTGAGAGTATGAGTGTGAGTGTGTGCGTGTGCGTGTGCGTGTGTGAGTGTGAGTGTGTGTGAGTGTGTGTGTGAGTGTGAGCGTTTGTGTGTGCGTATGAGCGCGTGTGTGTGAGCACATGTGTGCGTGTGAGCATGTGTGCGTGTGTGTGTGAGAGTGAGTGCGTGTGTGCACACACACGTGTGTACCGCCGCTTGCAGTCATTTCTGCGCACACCCGTCTGTGCCATCCTGTGTGTGCATGGCATGTGTGTACTACTGTGAACCTGTCTGAGGTGTGTGTATGTACACATCCCTCTGGGTGTGAGCTCTCAGTGTGTGCACACGCCCTGCTGGGCATTACATACACTGGTGTGTGTGTGCGCAGGGCATTGTGCACCTGCGTGTGCCCTAGGTATTGCACGCGTGCCAGGTGGGTGTGGCTGTGGCTGTGTGTGCACCCATGCCATTGTGTGAGTGCACACCTGGGCGTTCCACAGCTGTGTGCACATGCACTGGGCATTGCACGTGTGCCAGGTTTGGGAACACAACGCGAATTTACATGTGCCCACTTGGACACCCGAGTGTGTGGAAGTGGCTGTGTGTGTAGGGTGTGTGTGTGTGTGTGTGTGTGTGTGTGTGCAGGGGCTCTGTGTGAGGAAGGGGCCATGCGTGTACGTGACAGGAGCTCACTGTGGGGGCAGTGGCTGTGAGCGGATCTGGTGGGGTCAGTCTGTCCCTGCATGGGCACGGTCAGTCTGCCGTCTGTCCGTCCACCCCGCTCCCGAGCAGCAGCACTCCACACTGGCCTGTTTTTGGAAGCGGGTGCCAGCTCCGTGTGGGAATGTGGCACTCTCAGGCCGCTCCGGGGGTCAGGTGGAACGCTCCAGATAAGGATGAAAGTGCCGGCCGTGGAGTGTGGTCACAGTTGCTGGTGTCTGGCTGCCCTGCCCGTCCTGCCCGCTGCCTGCCAAGTTGGCAGGAGAACGTGCTGCTGGTGCTGAAAACACCAAAGTGGGGAAAGTTTGCACAGCGTGGGCAGAGGGAGTAGGAAGAGAAGGGTGGGGAGAGGGGACTGCGGTGGGGACAAGGACAGCCATGGCATGAGGCAGCTCTGCTGAATAAGGCACTTGGGGTAGCTTGGGTGCTGTGGCTGCTGGGGGGGATTTGGGGTGCCCCAGTGAACCCAACCTGCCCCAGGCTATGACAGGCAGGAAGCAGGGCAGCTCCCGGCCACTGCCTTTTTCCACATGATAAAGAGAGGGAATTCAGGCATCAGAACAGGCTGCTGAGAGAAGTGTGGAGTTCCTGGAAGTCTTCAAAAATCATGTAGATGTGGCACTTGGGGGTATGTTTTAGTGGTGGCCTTGGCAGTGCTGAAGGAACAGGTGGACTTGATCTTAAAGAGCTTTTTCAACCTAAATGATTCTGTAATTCTATGATTCTATAATTTTTTGGGGTCTCCATGTAGCTGAATGCCACAGTGATGCCTTTGAGTATGACTGCTTTGGAAACTGTGCTCCTCTCTGGTCTTGGGGATTTGTAGCCGCTTTCTGGACCCTGGCTGGCCCTTGGGAGAAGAGGAAATAAACTGAGAACCAGGGCAAGGGTAAAGGTGTCTGGGTATGGGAGCAGGAATCAGCAGCATTGGTGTTAAGATGAGGCCAAACAGGGAGTGGCACTTGTGACTGCACTGTTGGGACCCCCTGAGCTGGGAAGCCCTACTCCACCTTGGTACCTTCGATCCTGGTGATGGCCAAAGCTGAATTTTGGCTCCCAAGGGCACCTGGAGCATGTCACAGCTGTGGGTCTGGCCCCAGATGCAGTGTTTGCAGTTGAAGTTCTGGCTGACTGGCCTGTGCCCAGATCCTGTCTCCTGCTGGGCTGCACTGGGAGAGGCCTGGACCCAATGCCCATCTTCAGAGCTGCAGCTGGGAGCCCTGTTCCTGCCCTCCCTCAGCTGGTTCCACAGACATCAGAGGAACTGAAGTTGTCTCCATGGGTGACTGAGCAGCCACCAGACCATAGCAAAGCTTCCCTGCTCACACTCACGTCCTTAGCAGCACACAGCAAAGCTCATTACATTGCTCAGAGGCAGGAAGGAGCTGCCTGGCTCAGAGTTGTTATACCTCAGCAGAGTGCAGGCTGGCCAGGCATGGGGATGGCATGTGCCTTCCTGGCAAGCATGGCCTGCCTGAGGGCTCGTCCTCTCCCTGTTTGCTTTCCCCCATCATGTGTCACCCTTCTGCATGGCATCCTGCTGTGGCCACCTCGGAAATAGCGTGGTCTTGCCCAGCATCTTTGTCGTCACGGGGCCACTGGCCCTGTCTCAGGTGATGCCAGCAGCCAGCTGAGTAGTCACAGGTAACTGTGGGCCTGGGGAGGATCTGGGACAGTCATTGCCTGCGGTGACACGCGGAGCCTCATGCCAGCCTGGACTGAGCCACCTGTCCACACCCCTGCTCAAGCCTGGGTTTGATCCTCCCCAATTACAGCTGCCTCAGTTCTCTCTGTGACCTTTCCTGTTGCCTCACGCTAAGCCTCTCAGTGCCTGCCTCTGAAGGAAGCTGAACAATTAGATCAAAACAAAAATCTTGCCAAAGAAAGTATTTACAGGCTCCTCATGGCGCCTAGAACAAAAGATGAGATGTTGCAATGAGGTGCAGTGGCATTGCAGTGACTCGGCTCACACCCAAGGCTGGGAGTGTGCAGGACACTCAGCAGGAACATGGGAGAAACACAGAAAAAGACAGGATCAGGCAGAGAGGAGGCAGCAAGGACAGCCAGCATTAGGCAGTGGGGAAGCACTTGCCTGGGGGACGTCCCTGTCTGACCTCCACATGAGCCTCTGGAAGGGCCAGACCCTGTGCCAAACTTGTCAACCCTGCTCCTGCTGCCTGCTACTGGCACCTGTGTCCCTGAGCTCAAGCTGTTCTCCACCACCTTTCCTTGTTGGCTGTCACCCCCATTTCCCATGGTGTTATTCCCAAGGGGCAGCCACAGGGGCCATCCTGTCACCAGCAGTGGGGACATCCATCCTGCTGTTTCACACCATCTGGGTTCAGAAAACCCCAGCCCTGCTCACCCCATACATGGTTTTAGGGTTTAAGCTGTATTAAAGGTGCTGGCTGGCTCATGAAACCATCTTATCTCTGTCCATCAAGGACCTTCCCTTCCCCGTCCAAACAACACCCAAAATGCAGGACAGGTTAGGAGCAGGGTGTGTGCCAGTGAGTCCCCAAGGGCAGCCATGCCAGCGTGGGCCTGGCACAGTGTGCTCTGGCCCCTCATCTCTCAGCCAGCAGCCAAATGCAGATGTGGGGAAGAAGAACTTGGTTAAGTATTTCCTCTTTCAGTTCCTCTGCTATCTCCATGGCCCTGCCACCCTAGACAGTATCCAGGCAAGGGATTCACTACCGCTGTCCTTGTGTTCCACATCTGCATTGCTCCTTGCCCTCCATCCCAGCCTCCTGCTGCTCCCTGTGAGGGAGGAAGGAGCGTGACCAGAGCACACACCCCATGATGCCCAGTGGCACCTTACTCCAGAGCAGCTGGTGGTCAGGGACATGCAGCAAGGGCTTCCCTGGACACATCCTGAGAGTTGTGGTGCAGGGACAGACACACGGACTTCTGATGAGAGCATTTTCCATCTTGTCCTCATTTCCTCCCATCCTTAACTTTGCTGCAGTGCTGCATGGTGCAGCCCTGAGACTGGCACTTTTTACCCTGGAGTGGCATTGCCCAGGAGTAAAATGCCAGGATGGTGGTTCTGATTAAAGAGGGTGAGTGGATCCAACACCTTCTCTTGGTTCCCCCACACTTGCCAAGGACAGATGTCTCGGGCTTCTTTTCCCCAGGGTGTGGCCCCTATTTCCTTTCACCCCAAGGCATACCAGCTTGCAGCCCCCCAGTCTTGGCTGCCAGGTTGAAGTTTCTTGGTGTATTGCTTTGCCCTTTAAGTACTGAGAAGATGCACAGTGAAACAGACTCCTCTTGGAGTGCTCAGACAAAGGAAAATCTCATGGGCTAGGAAGGATGACACAGGAAGAAGCTTCCCAGAATACCTGCTACTCTTCCCAATCTCTCTTCTCAAGTGTTATTTCCCTGGCAGTGCTCTGTAGGGAGCTGGCACAGTCTCTACCCACACCAGCCTCCAGCAAAGTGTCCCCAGGGTGTCCCTGTGTCCCTGCTGGGGGTTACAAAGCTCCAGGCCCTTGACAATCCCTGGAGCACCACCAGCACGGAGGAGATGTGGCTGGGAATTTCAGCAACCATTGCTCCTCTGTGCCTGGGTGAGCCTCCCACTGTGGTGGGAGCTGGGGAGGCAGCATGGCCTGGGACATATGGGCAGGCTCTGCCTGCACTGCCCAAAGGCAGCCTGGTTGTCCCTTCAATCCAGAGAGGCAGCTGGTGTCCCCAGAGCCACTTCCCATGGGTGTGCCAACAGCCAAGACCTCTTAAAGCTGCTGGATTGGATCTGGCAACTTGGAGCTGAGAGGGTTCCAAAGCCTCTCCCAGGACTCTAGCATGGCTTCTCAAGAGGCATCACTTTAGGATCCAAGAGGTATGTAAATGAAAAGGAATAGCCTCATTTCATTAAGAGGTTGAAGAACTGGCAGCTTTGGGCATTCTATCAAGCTCAAAGATCTCTGCCAGCACCTAAATCCGATAAGTCATGTGTTTGGGCTGCTGGCAGTGTGCTGGAAAGCCAAGGGTGAGATAAGGGAGATGTAACTGTGCTAGCACCAAGGAAACTCCTGCAGGGGGGAGACAGATCTTTCTGTTGCCACCCCAGCTGTCTGCACTTTCCCAGAGGGCACAGCAGCACAGACCTGCAGTTGGACTCAATGATTCTTGTGGATCCCTTTTAACTCAGGATATTCTGTGACTCTGTCAGACCACCCTTAACACACAAAGGCCACAGGAAGATAGGTCTTCTCCTAAAAATTTATACTTTTCCCTCTTCCGAGAGCAAGGGAGAGTTAAAACTTCACCTAACCCACTGCTTTTGAGGAAGCTGGACCAGGGCAGGCAGTGCTGCAGGTTGCTGCGTATGGGGGTGGAATTCCAGCATACAGATAAACCAGCGAAACTTGGGGGATAGAGGGAGCATCTCAATGAGAGACAAGCTCTGGCTAAAGGAGAACAAAAATGGGGTGCAAAGCCTTGACATAAAACCATGGGAGGGGTTTTAAATGATGGCTGATGGGTGAGATGGGTGGGCAGTGCAACAGGGACTCATGCAGAGGTAAATTCTTCCCTGTGAGGGTGGTGGGGCCCTGTCATCTCACCCGAGGACTTGAGAGCTGAAAGGTTCAAAGAACCAAAGCTTGACCTGAGATCTGCTCTGTCCTGCTCTCCAGAGGCTCTCCAGGAGCCAGAGCCTCTGCAGCCCAAAATCCAGACTGGTTTTCAATGCCTGAGGTAGGAAAAAAGGAGCAAATTCTTGCTGAGATCAGGCAAAAGGTGCAATGCTGCAGACACAGTCCCCTGTGGAGTGACTGCAGGCACCCAGATTGCCTTGCTGATACAAATTACCAGTTATGAAATGTAGAAATTTGTTAATTATTTCCCTTTTCATCTATTTATTATGGGTTTCTTTTTTATTGCTAATTATTACTTTAATAGAGCACTAAGTAGGATGGAGGGTTCTCTTCTCTGATGCTGGCTTGGTGGCTCTCAAAATAAATCTTAAAGAATTGCCTTTTTCCACTATTTTCTGTCTGCCTTTCCCTATCACTCTGTTTTCTCAGTTTTTCTTGTGTTTTTGGGGTCTGACTTTTTAAAGCACCCTGCATTTCTGTTTACTGCATGGATTCTTCTTTCCCTAAATTGAATGTAATCAGGTCATGATCACTGTTCCCTAGGTAACCACCAATGAAATTACAGACCAGTGATCGAGAATTAACAGTTTAAGAAAGTTTAAAAATTAAAATGGTAATTGGAAGACTTCAAAAATCTGCTGAACCAAGGCATTCCCAGCTAAGCCACTGGTTACTATGGAGGGCTTGGGGACAATGATTGTGGTTCAGGAATTAGGGGAAACACCAGCCACGAGCCTGCTAAGACAAATTCAAACAAATCTGATAAAGGGCTGCTTCTTTTCTGTCAAAATTCCGAGGGGATGCTTCGGTTAACTAAGGAATTGAGGCTGTACCTGTATGGGATGTGGCAAGAGCTGGAACTGAAGTGGTTGTGCAGGGGTCTGGCAGTGGAGGTGAAGCAGTTCAATGTTCTGCTGCTGCCTGCAATGCCAGGGGAAATAACATGGTGATTGTGGAGTGCAGTGTCCCGATGGCCATGGTGGGCAGGAATGGAAGAAACCCTCCAGCCTGCCCTGTTGCTCCTGATAGTGTCCAGGTGCTTCAAAAAATCCCAGTAACCAGCTGCAGAAACCAATTCAAGCATATGCCAAGCTTCTCAGAGTAATTTGGCAGAGTTCTGGCTTTGCTGGGACTTTTTGTGTGCTTAGTGAATATTAGGAAAATGCCCTGGTATTTGGAGCACTTGAGAAGGGGCGACCAGCCCATGGCAGAGTGAAGTCTGTGCAGGACACCCTATCTGGAGATAGTTTTTCCAAGCCCTGCAGCCCCATGGTGGGCTCACTCAGGGGGTTCATGCCCTGTGTGTTATTTCATGATACCTTCCACCACTGCTCTACCTTCCACCATTGCAACACGGAGCTCACTCCTGTGTCATGCTAAGCTTCTGTGGGAGCTGCTCCACTCAGCTCTTCATGCAATGAGCAGTTGCCTTCCAGATCCGCTTTGCTCTTGTTCATGCCCAGTGGCTAGTGTTCCATGGCTCACTGGGATGGACTCTGAAAAACATCCTTACATGTGAGATGTTCTGTGGGACAAGAACCAGGTCCCTATTGCCCCCACCTCACCTGCCTCTGCTATCCCTTGCTATGGGGGCTCAGGAGCCAGGCACCTTCTGCAGGCAAACCCCGGCCTCAGCCCACCTGATAGGAAAGGTTTAACTCCACCTACGTCTCTTTTATGGGAATGCTGCCTGATTGCGGTGTACGATGTACACAAGGGATGGGGCACACAGGTGCATATGCTGAATACACAGCCCTGTGCCGCACATTAACTCCCGCATTCATTAACCTGTGAGCGCCTGTTCTGCAGACCCAATGTCCTTTCTGAGTAGTTCTCTGGTGTCTTTTATGAAGTAATGTGACTCGACCCCAGCAAGCAGCGCTGGGAGCACAGCCTGAAGGGATCTCGAGGCTCCGTGCGGCCTGACCACCCGTGTCCCTGCCCGGCCGGGCCACAGGAGCCCACGGGCAGCGGGACCGCCGGTGGCCGCTGACACCCCCGGTGTCCCCTGAGATCCCCGATACTCCCTCACAGCCCCCGGCCCGCCGAGCCGGCGGGGCGAGGCGCGGCCCGGAGTGCGCCTGCGCCGTGGCGGCGGGGCCGCGGCGGGCCCGGGCTGCGCGGCGGGGCCATGGCGGGCAGGCGGGCGCGCGGGCGGCGCGGCACCGGGGCACGGACGCGGACCCCGGAGCGGCCGCGGGCAGAGCTGTCCGGCGGCTCCCCAAGGTGCTGGGGGCGGCGGGAGCGGGGCAGTGGAAGCGGGGCGGCGGACGGGTTCTGACGCTGTCCGTGTCCCGCAGGCCCTGCCGGTTCTGCCCGCAGTGCGGGCTCGCCGTGGAGCCCGCGTTCCGCTTCTGCCCGGCCTGCGGCGGGAGGCTGCCCGCGCCGCCGGAGGAGCACGGCGAGCCCGCCGCGCGGACCCCGAGCCCGCCGCCGGCCGCCAGCCCCGCCGCCTCCCCGTCCCCGCGGGCGCGGCCGGGACCCCGCTCGCCCCGCAAGCCGCGGCCCGGGCCGGCTGCGCCGCTGCCGGCGGACACGGTGCTGGCGGACCAGGGAGGGCGGCGGTGGAGGCTGGTGCGGCTGCTGGAGCAGGGCGGCTGCGGGCTGGTGTACGAAGGTACTGTGGGGCCCGCGGCGGGCAGAGGGGGCCGGGGGGCGAGAGGCGGGGGGTCCCCGGCTCTGGCTTCGGCGACAGCTCTGGGGACAGCCCGAAATCCCCAGAGCCCACGGAGCGGGTGACACTGCGATGTCCGCCGGGCTGGCGGTGACCCGCAGCCTTGCAGGATCCGTCATTCATACAAGATTCTGAGCTGGGCAGGACCCACAAGAACCCTGGAGTCCAGCTCCTGACTCTGCACAGACACCCCAACAATCCCACCCTGGGCATCCCTGGCAGCGCTGTCCAAGCACTCCTGGAGCTCTGGCAGCCTTGGGGCCGTGCCCATTCCCTGGGGAGCCTGGGCAGTGCCAGCACCCTCTGGGGGAAGAACCTTTTCCTCATCTCCAGCCTAAACCTGCCCTGGCCCAGCTCCAGCCGTTCCTCACTGGACATCTGCCTGTCAGCCACTCTGCCACCAGCATATTATCAAGCTGAGGCGAGACTGTTCTGTTATTATGGAATGTCCATTGTTGGGGCCACACTTCTTTATGTTTTTTTAGGTCCAAAAACAATTTGTGGGCACTGTACAGGAGTTCCTGTGCTGTGAGTGGTGTCAATACCCACTAAATGTCAATTCTCAGCGTGTGTTGGGCCCAAAGAAAGCAACCAAAGCACACAGGCTGCTTCTCAGCCATTTAGTAAGTGCTGATCTTTTCAGTCTTCCAAACTTTCAAAGGGGAGTTTTTGATCTTTAGTTAATTTGGAAACTGTCCAGGAGGAATTTTTTTCCATTACCAAATTTTGCCTGATATTTGGCTTTACTTTCTTTTTCATTATTCAAGCTGTTGTATAACAAAGTCTGAGCATCTATCTATGTTTTAAAAAAAATGTGATAAAAAGGATAGTCAATAGTGGAGGGTGTTTTTATAGAAGTAGGTTTTAAGTGATGAGTAGCAGGTAACCTGTGGATAGCACTTGGTCTAAGAGCACAAGAAGAGGAACTGTCCTGAGGCAAGTCATGGATGCAAATCCTTTTGGAGACGGGTAGCTACATACAACTCTTAACATCCATACAGAGCAGAGGGACTTGGCATCCCTTACAGACTTGTCAAACCATGGAGTGAGCTGGAGGGAGTGCTCAGCAAAAGAATTTGGGGATGCCTTTGAGATTCTAACTAATGATCTATTCTTTACATACCCCTCAAAGCTCCCCCATACTGTAGCCATGCCCAGATGCTTCTGTGACTTAAGCAGAACTGCAGTGCATGTCAGGGTGCTGAGCTCCTGGAGCAAGGTAAGAATTATTTTATAGTGATCTGGGAAGGTGCTGTCACAGAGGTTGCATTGCAGAGCTCAAGGGAAAGAAGCAGAGGATGAGTTAATCCAGCTGCACAGGCTGCATTTAATGATGCACAACCTCTTTTTCCATGTTCCTGTAATCACATCTGTTCCATCCTTCCACAGCACAGTCAGCATCTGGAACCTGTCCTCAAAAGCAAAGCTACTCCCTCAAACTTGTGAGTTTTGATCTGTTTGGGTAAGGAATAGTGCTTAGAGTACTGTGTCCTGATCTTTTTGGCTGAGAGTATCTGAGGACTTGGGAGAGAGTGATCAGAGGGGCCCCTGCTAACTTAGGAGATGGATCTAACTTCTTGAAGGTGTTGTGCAGGGATTTCAGTTGGCTTTTCTGCTAAAGGTGTGAAGAAAATGAATATGAGGATTAAAAAAACTCAAAGACTTAATAACAGAAGGTTGCTGCTTTGTTTGACCAGGCTTAGGAATCTGCAGAACTGAATTTGGTGGTGTGAGGTGGAGATCTTGATTCAGGAATATCAGACCAACTTTTCTCCTCTCTGGCAGGCGTGCACACACCCTGCTGAAGTCTGGGGAAACTTGAGAGGTTGGAATTTGGTGCTGTGCTGAGGCTGTGTGAGAGCCAGCATGGAGACACTTTGTAAAGCCAGAGCACACTTTGAAATTAAATAAGAATTATAGTTGGAGTTCCAAGTCAGCTTTCCAGGTACTTGCAATATCTTAGGTTCTCCAGAAATGTGTTATTTCCAGTAACAGCTGTTCTGTCGTGGAAATTCAATCAATTGATTTTCAGTAGCTCACAAACCAGGGCTGAAAGCCTGTTTTCTTGTCTACTGTAGCTCTTGGGGACTGCTGGTCTGTAGGAGGGCCAGTGCTGACTGATGGCTCTGTGGGGCTCTTGCATGCACTTGGATAATCCCTTAAGAGGATGGAGAAGGATGAGAAAAATCTGCTAAGTGCACAAAGCCACTAGTTGGTGGGAAACTGTAATCACTTCTGTAGGCAAGACTCCCAACTTTTCTGGTTTTCTTTTGGCTGCTTGGTGGTCTGCTGAGCACTGTGGAGTGTGGTATGGCACATGAGAGCATTCTGGCACTGGGGTTTGATGACCCACGTGGGCTCACGGGCAAGATGCAGAGTGAAATACCCTCTGGGACATGGTCTGTGTTGTCTGCAGCTTGCTGTTCCTCCAGCTATCTTTGATACCAGTTTTGTACCAAACCAGGTAGAATAGAACACTCCTGCTTTCTCCCATGCAGGATAGCAGCTGTTCTGAGTTAGTGTTGAATAGATATGTGTATGTAGGCAAACACAGACATTCTGAATGGGAACTGTGTGCAGTTGAGGTCACTTGATGACAGCAATACCTCAAATGTTACTAATACAGACTTTCTTGTCTCACTTTCTGACAGCTAGAATAAATGTTACAGCTCTCTGTAGAGAGAGAGGTAGAGCTGTAGAGCTGTGTGTTTGTAGAAATGCCCTCATCCCTGCTGTGGCTGAGAAGGTCACCTCTGGCTCTTGTTAACGTAGCAGCTGTGGGACCAGAGCTGTCCATGCTGTGCCTGGGCTGCACTGCCTTGTCTGCTGTTAACCCTCAGACAGCTGTAAATGGGCTGCTGAAAAGGCTCAACCTGAGATGGCCCCTCTCCTGTTCTGTGCTGATACTCAGAGTTGATGTGGTTGTTAGGGGCAGCATTAAGTAGGAAACCAAGACACCTGAGCTCTGCTCTCAGTTCTGTTAGTTGGTCTTTGCTTTCTTTAAAATGAGTTGTTAAGGTCTTAGAGCAATCTTACCCAAATTTCCCTTTCCAGCAGGATGTGTCTGGCTGAAGTAATGCTCTTCTCCATTCCCTTTAGGATGCCAAAGATGGAAGGCTCTACAATGAACAGAATTTCTTCCAGCGAGCTGCAAAGGCAAGCACAGGTTGGTGCTTCTTGGGAGGGCAAGGACTAAGGCTAGCTGGCATTTCTGTCTCATCAGTTATGTGAATCTCTTGAAAGGCCAGGCTAGGATAAATTAACCCCCTGCTTGGTTAGTGCCAGAGTGCTGAGGAGTTCAGTCAATGCCAGTTCTCCCAGCAGTCTGTGTGCTGTAGGACAGTGCAGTGTGAGCACAGCTTTCTTGGGCTCCTCACTCTGTCTTGATGTGTCTGGGAGCTGTCCAGCCCTGCAGCCTCTCACCTTGGCTCACTCTCCTGTCCCTCTTCCATGGGTGGTTCTGCAGCAGCTCTCTGGTATAAACTCCATTGATCCCAAAACTTGAGCAAGAACAAAGCTGCCCAGAGAATGTAGGTGGGGGGGATGGAATAGTTTATGTCAAATCTACACTTTCTGGGAGAAGTGTAAAAGTCTGCTTGTCCCTCACCCTCTCTCTCTTGCCTCTCCTTGTTTTGCCCTGCCCTGTAACAATACCATGCCATAGCCTGCTCTGGTATTCCCAGAATTTTCCCTATTCCATTCTTGCTCTACAGTGGTATTTTCATTGACATGCCAGTGCACACATCAGACTGGAATTCTGGGGACAGAGTCAGGATGAGAGGCCACTGTCAGCTCCCAGGGCAGTGCAGGCTTTCAGAGGAGGAGCATCCCTAACTCCTTCCTCCTGGAGCTCCTCAGCAGCATATGCTGCACTGTCCTCTTCTGTTGTAGTGGAGAAGTGGAAGAAGTGGCATTCTGTGCCGCTGCTGGGCATCCCCAACTGTGTTGGCTTTGGACTGCATGCAGACAGCTACAGGTGAGGTGACTGAGCTCTTGGGCTGTCTGAGCATCTCTGGCTTTCCCTCTCCTCTAGTTGCAATCCACTTGTCCTGTTGTCATTGTCCCCTGGGCTCCTGACTTTATGCACTGCTCCTATCATGTCTTAAATGGTTTGCCTCTCATTGCTTTGTTTCCTTCAGTCCTTGTGTTGCTGGTGAAGTTACAGCTTTTGCTGCTGCTGCCCTTCAGGCCAGGGAACACCTTATTTTGGACCTTGACACTTAACACAAAGGGGAGATTCAGGCTGCATGTCTGCAACACACAATGAGCACACCTGTCTCCTTTATAAGAAGTTTTCACTTATCAAAAGTCAAGGAAGTGTTTGCCCAGGTCAGCTTGGAGTTGAAGTGGGGTCCAGTGGATCACCTGGCAAGTGTCTTTTGCAGGGCCTCCAAACCAGGTAGGTACTATAATGTGCAAAGCCCTTTTCTCCTGCAGGTTTTTGGTGTTCTCTGATTTGGGGCGATCTCTTCAGTCAGTCCTGAGTGATGGCCTGCACCTGCTCAGGGAGAAGGCAGCTTTTCAGATTGCAATTCGCGTGGTATGTGGAGAACCAATCCTTCCCAAGGGACTTTTTCAGAAAAGACTTCTAACTTCCTTCTGGATCTCCCAGAGGTGTTTTAAAACTGCTTCAGGGGCTTGGGTGGGGTCTCTAAACCTGCTGTCAACTTCAGTAGCATCTTTTGAGCACTGTGTCACCTAGAAGGAATTTGGGATAAGAATGAGAAAAACCTGACCTTTGAACTTGAAGGCTGTGATGTGTTTAGTGCTCATCCACATGGCTGCAGGGAACTGGGGAAGGTCCACCTCAGTGATAGCCAGGGTGCTGCAGGAGCCTGCATGGATCTGATATGCTTCCCCTGTTTATTCCCAGCTAGACTGCCTGGAGTATATTCATGAGAATGAGTATGCGCATGGGGACATCACAGCTGAGAACATCTATTTGAACCCAGCAGACCTCACACAGGTAGGGAGCAGGAGCAGTGCTGCCAGGAAAGGGCACTGGAGGTGGGATTGTGACTTGGGATAAGACAGCCTCCAGGTCCCTGCCTTGGGCAGGGCAGCAGAGCAGGCTGGACAGTGCTCAAGCAGGGGCTGTGGGGAAGCCCTGGGGGCTGTTCTGAATTCAGGTGGGTGCTCTGTGCTGCCCTGCAGGTGACCCTCGCTGGCTATGGCTTTGCGTTCCGCTACTGCCCCGGGGGGAAGCACGTGGCTCAGCGCGAGGGCAGCAGGACCCCTCACGAGGGCACGGTGGAGTTCATCAGCCTGGACAGCCACAAGGGCACAGGTGGGTCTGGCTTTGTGACACATGCTGGGGCTGCTTCTCTGGTGGTGCTCCCTGGAGCTCAGGCTGCCTGCTGGCACTGCTGCTTTCCAGGCATTCACATGCACCAGGAACGAAGTTCCTCTTTGGGCTGTTCACTCCTGCCTCCTGATGGCTGCTGTGTTGGGACTTGCCAGGTCATTCAGTGATTCCAGCAGAGATGTTCCTGCTCCATCTGGAGCCTTGGCTGCTGCAGGCATGTGGGGAATAGAAAACAGGGCCCTTCATGCTGGCTTAGCAGGAATCTGTTTCAAGGCAGACTGGATCCCTGCCCAAAACAGATTTGCAGCAGGCTCTGCTCTGACCTTGAAGTAATGGGAGCTGGAAAGGCATTTAAATCATAGAATCACTGTTGGAAAAGACCTTTAAGGTCATTGAGTCCAGCTTTAAACCCAGCACTGCCAAGGTCATCACTAACCCAAATTTCCAAGTGCCACATCTACATGACTTCTAAATCCCTCCAGGGATGAAGGCTCCACACTGTCCTGGGCAGCCTGTGCCAAATTCTGTCCTTCTCCTTGTTGGGATGTGACTGCTCTTTCACAGTGTTCAGGAAATCTTCCTCCAGAGGCTGGGAGGTGATTCCTGAACTATGTTAGCAGCCTCCCAGGAGTATTGATACCCCAGAGAACATCCTCATGAAGCTTCTGAATTTCTTTACTTCTGCCCCTTCATGAGTGACATGTGAATGTCTCATACTTCCCATCAGGACCATCTCGACGGAGTGACTTGGAATCTCTGGGCTACTGTCTTCTGAAATGGCTCTGTGGCATTTTGCCTTGGTCTGATGAGCTGGACAAAGTAAAAGCTGTGGTGGAACAGAAAGAAAGGTAGGAGAAATCATTTATTCTTCTGGAAAATGCTCAGCAGAAAGCAGTGAGGGGGGTTTGTGACTGAAATCCCCAGGTCACTCTGTTGGGATGTGGTGAATCCCACAACAAAGGCTGAGCCTTGCCCCAGTGTTTGGTGAACCCCAAGTTCTGCTTCATGCCCAACACGGCCAGCTGAATTCAGCCTTTTGAGGATTTTTTTTTTTTTTGTCCCTGTTGTCAAAGCCAGGTGCTCAGGAGCCTGCTCTATTGCTTCTCCTTCTGACAGGACTTTGTGCTGACTATTCCAGGTACAGAAAGGATGTGAGACGCCTTCTCCAACTGTGCTTCAGGCAGAGATCCATTCCAGGTATGGGCTTGCTCTCAGTGGCAATGCAACGCGGGGATGGAAGATTGACTGTACCTGAAGCCAGAACTTTCTCTGTGCTGGTGTGCTGGTCTGTGATAGCTTCCAGTGGTGATGATGACCACCCTCTTTCCCATCCCATATTGTTGTGCAGAGAAGCTGTGACTATCCCATGTCTGAAAAGTGTTCAAGGGGTGGAAGGAGATGGGCTTCAAGGTCCCTTCCAACCCAAACCAGTTGGTGATTCTATTTTATTGTATAATTTGGTGATTCTTTGAGCTTTGTATTAGCCTTGGTTTGGTTTTCCTCTCTGCAGCTGCCTGAGGGGATGGGTGAGCTGGCTGCAGGACAAGCAGCCTGAAATGGCCACTTGGCAGCTGGAGTTTGTGCTGCTCCAATGAGTCCCTTTCCTTGCAGATGCCCTGGAGAACTACCTGGAGCAGGTGGTGGCACTGGAGTATGAGGAGAAGCCTGACTACGCAGCCCTGCGGCAGCTCTTTGGAAAGCCACTGGAAAAGATGAAAGCTTCAGCTTACGACTCCATTGATGTCCGAGTGGTGCCCTGAGGTGAGTGCTGGTACCTCCTCTGTGTGACCTGGGCTGCCACAGGCTGGTGAGGACAGAGCAGGCTGGGTTGTGACATCTCTCCAGCTGAAACCAATCTGCTCCTCCTGGCATGTCATTCCCTACTGAAACCAGTCCAGTGTTACAAAGCCAGGCTTAGCCTGTGTTTTCTCAAGTTTTTCTGGAAATACTTGCCCGTGAAGGAATACAAGGGTTAATAAAGTAAATGCTGAAGGGGCTGCAGGGCTGTGAAGGTGATAACAAAATGCAGACTCAGGCCATCTAGTAATTTTTTCTTTCTTTATATCTGAAACTCTGGGCTGTAGTTTTTGCTTTTCTCTCTCAGAAAGCAGCCTGTAGTTCTGGTTTGAGTGCCCAGGTGCTATTTTAGCCATGAGGCACCTCAAAGAGTGAGGCTTGATACAAAGCCAGATCTGATTTTAGTGCAGGGCTGTATCAGCCAAGGTCCTGCATCCAGCAGCAGGAGCACAGAGCCAGCTCTACACCTAATTTCCTCCTCCTGGGAAGGAATTAAACTGATTCATCCCCCCTTTTCTGCTTTTATTTTTTCAGATCAAGGAAGAGTTCAGAGCTTTCTGCAGTGAGGCCTTTCCCAGATATATTTTCACTTTTACCAGTTTTAAAATGAGAAAGGTTTTTTAAGTGTTTCTTCCCATGTTAATGTGAGCCAGTGCTGAAGTTTGAGCTGCTGTTGTACCAAATTAATGTGAAGACTCCTGCATGGCAGATCAGGGGAAGCAGTAGCTGGAGAACTGCAGTGGAGCCACCATAAGCCAGGAAACTAAATCAGGGATTTTCTCTTTTGAATGAGTGACAGTACATGGTTTTGTAATAAACTTTGTGGACAAGTACCCAAGGCTGCTCTTGGTTATTTGGAAGATTCAAGGCCTTTCTGGAGCTGCTGTAGGGTTGTGAGGGCAATTTGAGCCCTGTGCTCCTTGTGAGATTTGTGTGAATAGCCTTCAGGCAGTGCCACTGCAACTTAACCATCAGAACTCAGTTCAGAGGTAAACCCTGACCTCATCCCAGCAGTTCTCCAAGCCTCAGGCCAGAGAATGAGGGGAAGGAAGACTAGGATTCATCTTTACTAACAAAACAATTTTATAAAAAAACAGTCAATAAACACTCACTACACTGTGTGTAGCTGAACTGTTGCCAATGCCACAGTAAATTCTAAGCAGTCCCGGAGTCCAGGTCCAGTGTTAGCTTCAAGTGACATCTTTTTTAAGTCTTGTACCTTGGTATTCCAATTCCTATGTGTTAAGGCACAGAAGGATTTTTCAGGTGAAGAAAACATGGCAACAAGAGAAGAGGCAAATGGAGTTTAAACCATGTGAGAGGTAGGTGAGAGAGCAGCTCAGACCTGCAGTGAGCCTTCATTTACCTCTGGGGTTTTTCAATAAAAACCTTGTGTCAGTGCAGCAAATGCCATAGACAAGAAGAACGGAGCTGAGGGAGAGACCTGGACAGAGTAAAAGGCAGCACAACCTCAAAATAGGTCTTTCAAGTGGAAGAACTCAAGCATAGTGTTACATTCAGAAACTTGAGAACAAATGTCAATTCATTTCATTCATAGTGCCAGGCCTCAGAGGAAGCAAGGGACAGGACAGTTCTTTTCTATCACTAAGATGATAAAACTGGGCTATGAATTTCATAGAGACAGAACCTTAGCAGAGGATCAGGCAATAGGGGATACGTAAAAAGGCAGCTGTGAATGGAGGAAATAGACAAGGTTGAAGGGAAGATATTTTGGAGGTATTTACAATTATTCACTGTCATCCCTATATGACTGCAACAGAAATACAGCTTCTGGGAATCCTGGTAAAGTTAAAAGCATGAAGAAATCAGAGACTTAAGAAGGCCAAGTTCAGCCTTTCTTCAGTGTGTTCTGCCATGTTTTTTCTCTTGACTTGCCTCCTGTGCAGGTAGTGGGGCTGGCACAGCTCCCTGTTCATGGAATTGCCATGGGGCAGTGCTGAGGTAGGTTTGGGAGGAGCTTCAGGACTGCCTTCAACAGAAGATGTAGGACTGGCAGTGTTGACAGAAGAGTAGCCCGAGCTCCCCTCTGGGTTGGGATTCCTTGGGGTGAGATATGCCCCTGGCAGCTCCCCCTCCCCATGGGGTGCCCCAGAGCCATCCCACTCCCCAGGCAGGCTGTCCTCATCACTGGAGTCCTGGCCACAGTGCTCTGCAGGGTCCAAGTACAGCACTGTCACATCCAGGATCCCACTGGGGCTGGTCACTGCAGGATGGGAAAAGAGAAACCTTAGTTTGTCCCCATCCAGAACCAAGCAGGCACTCAGCACAGAGTCAAGCAGAAAAAAGCCAAGCAAGATTCAACCTTCTGTCTGCTTACAGCTGGAGGGCAGGGCACTAGGTTCACCCTCTATTCACAGTGTCTTTTCTTCCCTCAGACTATTTGAATAGATACTAAGAGCTGCTAGAAAATGAGCAGCCAGGCCCAGGGTCAGCAAAACCTAATATCTAATTAGTGTTTCTAAGACAGTGGCTCATTCATCACATTTGGTACACTGCAAACAGCCTGACTTTGAAATGCTGAGCAAATACAAAACCCCTCATCATGTTCTGAAGCAGTGCAGAGAAAGAACAGATAGATACCTCTGAGAGAGTTTAACAATTATAACCACGGGGGAAGGGGAAGAGTTTTTCCAACTGGTCTTCAGCTGAAAGTTTAGGCATCTGGTGCCTGAGAAACAGTTTTAAGCAAAAATGAAAAGAGGGGTTTAATCCTCTTGGCTGCTGTTTATAAGAATAAACTGCTCACCATCTCCTTCTCGCTCGCCTTCGCTTTCCTGATCACCTTCATACCCAGAGCAGGAATCTAAACTCCAGTCAAGGAAGTTGTCCAGCAGACTTTCTTCCTGGGAGGACAGCTCTGCTGTGGGTGTAGTCACAAAGCTGCCTCTGTCATCCTGAATGCTGTCTTCCCTTCTCCTGTAGTAAAACACCCCAGAAATCACATGTTAAAATCCAAGTATTTTCCAGCTCTTTTAACAGGTATGTCAAGATGGTGACAGGAAAATGAATTTTATTTAGGAATGAAACCTCAGGGTACCAGAGAGGAGGAAAGGGTCTGGCTGATCTTCAGAGCAGCTGACAGCCATGAGTTACACTCACCTTTTAGCTCTCTTTCCAGAGGGAGAGCTGAGGAAAGTCTGAATTTCCACTACATTCCTGTGCAAGGGACTGGGCTCTGGGTCCTTCTGTTTCACACCCAACAATGAACAGAGCTGGCTGTAACTCATAACCTAAAATATTAAATAGATTTAAAAAAAATCAAAGCACCTGTTAAGAATTAGACCAAGAGATTCTTATGAGAACTAAATAGCCAGGAGGACACTATTTATTTTCTAGGAGAAATCTATCCCAGTGTGTTCTTCCCATAGGCACTCAAACATCAGTTAAAGAGTCCCTGCAACTCAATTTTTAAACTCCCACTTTATTCACACAGCATGTCATGGGGCAGTAGCTCTGCTCTGGGTGACAGCCAGCAGCAGATGCAGCCACAGCTCACCCACCTGTTCTTTGCCGATTTCTTCATAGCGCTCATCTTCAAACCGCTGCTTTACTGCCATTAGGGACACCTGCCTGTAATCCTTTGGGGCATCATCATGGAAGCTGAAAAGAAAGATTGAAACCCCTATCTTACAATGGATTATATGAAACAGTATTAAGAAAACCTGCCAAATTAGGTAATTTTCCTCTGTCTCTCAGTGCTGTGCTAACGGAGCTGGTGTTTCAGCAGCTTCATCAGAACACCTGGTGGCTTCTAAACATGTGAGCATCTAATTCCTTTTCTGTCCCTGGTTTCTGTGACCCAGGGCCAGACCAGCTGGCAGAAATACAACAGCTGTCCCTGAACTGGACCTTAGTGCTTTGAGGCAGGGAAGAAGGCAGTTAACCAAAGGCCCCTCCTTCGCTGGGAAGGGCTAACCGTACAGGTGCAGCACATTTGCAAGAGCTGCAATCCAAGTACTCATGCATCCCCTCAAAGAGTCCCAAAACCATTACCACTTTTGGTGGAGGCTCAGCACGCAGGGCAAGAGGTCTTCTTGAGAGAAACCAGTGCACTCAGACAGCTGGGTGGTCCAGGGGTGTGCTGGAGAAGAGAGTACATATTCCTATATTGAATTATATATTCATGAAGTGTAGTAGCTCAGTAGCTAGTCAGCTTTCTTTTTTAATAGGATAACAATCATGTTATTTGCAAGCTTATATCTGTCCATAGTTTATTCAAGTTCACAACTGGCTTTAAGGATAGCTTTATCTGCCAAACTGATTTATACCTAATGATAGAAATCCTCAGTACCATTTAAATACAAAGCTTGCCTGATGCTGATGTTCTAGTATATCACTGCTATTAAGAGGTAAAACAGAATCAGAAAACCATGGAATGGTTTCAGTTGGAAGGGACTTCAAAGCCCATCTCATTCCACTCACTGCCATGGGCAGGGACACCTTCCACTATCCCAGCTTGCTCCAAACCTTATCTGACCTGGCCTTGGAGACTGCCAGGGATCCAGGGGCAGCCAAAGCTTCACTGGACAACCTGTGCCAGGGCCTCACCACCCTCACAGGAAAAAATTCCTTCCCAATATCCCATCTAACCCTGTCCTCTGGCAGTGGGAAGCCATTTCTCCTTGTCCTGTCTCTCTAGGCCCTTGTAAATAGGCTCTTGTCCATGTCTCCTGTCAGCTCCATTCAGATACTGGAAGGCCACAATTAGGTCACCCTGAAGCTTTTCTTCTCCAGGCTGAATAATCCCAATTCTCCCAGCCTTTCCTCATAGCAGAGCTGTTCCAGCCTTCTGATCATCTGGGTTGCCCAATACAGCCAAACAGATTGAACTTAGCTCTTCATTCTAACTTCTTATACCTGTCCCCCTCTTCTCCACCCTTGTCTCCACCTCCCCCAGCCAAGTGACTGGGACATCTTGTCTAAAGACAAACTAACACCCAAAAACCCCCAAAAAATCTCCCTAGAAAGACAAGGCAGACTGGCACTCTGTGCTTGAGGTAAGATTGGTTACCTTGCCCATGCAGCATCTTGGCCAGCAGCAGTGCAGCAGCAGCCAGCTGGGCTGGGGAATACACACTGAGGCTCGTGTTCAGGAGGGACAGCTCACAGATGAAGCTGTAAAGGTGAAGAGTTCTTCTCTCCAGCAAGACAATGCTTGACAGAACTTCTTTGTAGTCCAAAATGGTGGGTATCTAGTGCAGAAAGGAGAACAGAGGTTGGAAATACAGGACCAGGAGAAAGTGTTTTAGAACAGCTGTTTGCAGGTGATGGGTTTTGTTTGTTTGGTGCTTTTTTGTTTAATGACTACATTGACATCACTGCATTCTCCAGTAATAGAATAAATGGCCTCTTAAAACTCAAGTTTTAATCTCTACAGAAGGCAGAGGGGTCTGTATCTGCATGCTCTGAGACATGCACAGGCTCCACAGTTTTTGAGAACACTGACCTAAACCTCCAACTCAGGAACTGCTACAGCCTGACTTGAAGAGCAGCCCAAGGGGGGCCGGGGGCGGGGGGGGGAATATTTCATCCACTTTCTAAACTCACCCTTATCTTTCCTTCTAAGGCAGAAATGATCTCACCCATCATTCTGACCAACTCTTCATATTTGTAGGAGTTGTCTGTCAGCCACACAGCTTCCCGTATCGTCAGCATCTCTTTGCTGATGAAACTGTAATGTTAATATAAAGTTAGCTCCAGCAGAAAGGGGATTTGTGCACTTACAGCAGATAACTGCACCCACAATGACAAGAGTTAAACAACTTCACAAAGTATTTTCCTAGATAAACCAGCAAAGAAAGAATTACAGCTCTTTATTTCACCTGTAAGATGGAACCACCTACTAGAACATTCCTAATTTGGAATGTTCTTCCTAATACAAAATAAATTCTTGGCTGTGAGAGTGGTGAGGCCTTGTCACAGGTTGCCCAGAGCAGCTGTGGCTGCCCCTGGATCCTTGGAAGTGTGCAGGGCCAGGCTGGACAGGGCTTGGAAGCATCCTGGGATAGTGGAAGGTGTCCCTGTCCATGGCAGGGAGTGGAATGATATGATCTTTAAGGTCACTTCTAACCCAATCCAGTCTGTGATTCTCTGATCCTAATTCTTCACCTATAAAGCCTCACCTAGATTCAAGATATTAAGGAAATTAACACAGAAGGATAATCTTCCACCACACCATGCAGTTCATCCGAGTGTACACAAGCTCAGCTATGGAACACTGCTGCTCTTACTCTTTTCCAGATTTCTCATGATGTCAAAGACTCCAGTTGCTGAAGGAATACATTTAGAGCACTTCACAACTATGACCATGTGTTTAAATAAGGAAAAAAGCTTCAAGGAACTACCTTTTCTGCCTCATTTACAGAGTCTGTGTTTGTAAACACAGTTAAACAGCAGTCAAATCAGAAGAAAGTCTTAAGAGCCTTTCCAGTATTACATGCAAGGGATGGGGTTGGGGAAGAAGTTTGAGCTGCAGGAAAGAATTTGGAAGTTCCTAATGATCACCTCTGCTCACCAGCCAGAACCCTCACCGTGTGCAAATGACCATGCAGGCTATCCCCAAAAGCTGGAGCCGAGCACGAGGCACAGGTCTCAGCGTCAAATAACGGTCCACACATCCCACTGTCATGTGAAGGCACAGGCTAGAAAAGTCCTTCATGGTAGCCACTTCCACCAGCCAATCCACCAGGATATACCTAGAACAGGAAGAGAGACTTAAGGAAGAACTTGGGAAATGGTGTCCCATACCATGACATCCAACGGAGAATGAGCCAGGCCAAGCAGAGCAGTGACAAGTGTTCCTGAGATGCCTCCCAAGAGTAGAGCCAGCTCCCTAAAGTGGGGTTGCGGCTGCACTGGATTCCCCTGCAGCCCTCCTGAAAAATCTGCCTGCTCCATCCCCTCCCTGCACACCAACACACACAGTGTGGGGAATAAACAGGACTGGAGATGTGTGTGTGGTCACAGAGCCATGATCCTATTGCCATTACAGAGCCACAGTGGGACACCCAGGTGGCTGGAATGCTGCCATGGATGTAATGTACTTTTTTAGGAAAGCAATGCCAGCAAGGGAAGTGGTGGAGCTGCCCTACATGTGAGAGAACAACTGGAATGTATTGAGATCTGCCTAGGGAAGGACACAGAACTCATCCGTAAGGATTAAGGGGCAGATGACACTGCTGCGGGTGTTTATTCAGGAAAAGGAAGTCAACAGGGGCTTTGGACAAGGCCTGAAGTGACAGGACAAGGGAGAATGGCTTCATACTGACAGATGGCAGGGCTAGATGGGATATTGGGAAGAAATTCTTCCCTGTGAGGGCCATGAGGCCCTGGCACAGGTTGCCTAGAGAAAATGTAGAAGGATTGTAGAGATGTACAGGGAAATAGGGAATAGTTTCTTCTGTGGGGCCTCACTCCTGGATCCAAGTTCCTACCTCATTATTTCATTCATTCCTTTCTGCACAGTGAAGATGCTTTGCTTGCTGATAGGAAGGGAAGCTTGAAAGATTTGAGAAACCATTTCCCTGGAAGATTTTGCTTCTAATCCTAGTTGGTTTCCAGTCCCACAAGCTTTGGCTAAAGCTATCTGTAGTAGAGAGAATACAAAAGAAAGTATGCTTATTTTACCAAATGCAAACTAAGGCAGCAGAAGACGGTTCTCTGTTTTTCCTGCTGAAAACACTGAACATGGTAAACTACTTGAACTGGTAGTTCTTAGTTTGGTTTAAATGTTGAGCACACAGATTATTTGGGGCCAGGCTTCTAAGTTCATCAAAAGATGCATCTTTATTCTACCACAGTGTGCTGCAATTTCCCAAAGAAGAGAATCTGCAGAATAGATGCAGATATGCACATAAAGACAACACTCAGTGTTGTCTGCTTCTAAAAGAGAAGCAGGTCCTGCTTCTAAAAAGAGAAATTTAAACTTACAATGGCAGCACAAAAAGGACCAAATAAAGACTGCTTTCCTGGGAAAACTCAAGTCTTACCTGTGCTTCCCAGCAGCCCTTGGCTGCGTAGTCTCGTAGCTTCCTGAGACTTTGGAGGTATCTGCCAGGGTCCGACATCTACAGAGAGGAACACAAACAGGTGTAAAAACCCACAGCCTTTACACAACAAACAGAAGAATTGTAGCACCAGTATCCAGAGAAAAACACTGCCTGGAGGTACATCTATTATTTCAGCAACAAGTCTGTTCCTTACCATGACACCACTTTTTTTAAGAACCTTTTTTCAGTTCTTGCCCAAGGTCTCACAGGAAATGAGAGCATTGACTCAGGATTCCAAGGGGACAGCTTTGGCAGATTTATTAATGACAAGGCAGAAGCCTCCCCCTCCTGCTCCCCAGAGCCCTGGGATCACTGGCCAGCAGTGCCCAGGCCTTCAGCAGTGTTGGAGTAAAGCAACTTCTGTGGCACCTTGGCTACAACTGCTCGCAGCCTCATTTCAAACACCCAGGCAGACACCAGAGCTCACTTCAGTGAGTTCTTAGCACCCTCCTGTTTATGATGGAGGTAAGCTCTGAGGGACAGCAATTCCTTTCTGAGGATATTCCTTGAAGATAACAGAGCTCCAGAAGTTAGTGTGAAAGTTGTTTGGAGACAAAAAATTACTACTTACAGCAGCTTTTCTGTTGTTTTCCCAGAGGAGGTAGGAGCTGATTAAACAACCCTGTTTTGATGATTCTTCAAGCATTTCAAGGGATTCTTTCTTTTTTCCTTCATCCTAAAAAGAAAAGGCATATATTGGTATTCTTTCTGTCCAGACAACTGGATGCCTTAACACTTCAGAAGATATGGAACACTGTGGTAAAGCTACAGAGCAGAATCCATCCCTTGGGAATGCCCTTCAGCCTCTGAGGAATGCTCCCCCATCCATTCAGTGCTGCCATTTGCAGATGCAGGCTCTGAGGGCAGTTAGTGCTTTTCCTCAGCCAGACAAATGCTTTTTGGCTTGCTTGCCACTGAAGGCTTCTCATTTTATTTTTTGTTTTGCTGAACATACTGCAAGCCCATGATTAAGCCAAAATTAATTTCACCGTTTGTACAATTCAACAAAGTAAGTTAATAATGTTCCTTTAAACAACCAGTAAATTAAACTCGTGAGAACAGAAACTCCAGGGACCCATGAGGAGTAAAAGCATCTGGCTGATTTATGTTTTTAATCAAAGTAAACAGCATTAGCATCACCAGAAAAAAAATCCAAATCCAAACCCATCACATCAGAAATACTGCTCACCTCGAAGAAATTCAAAACCTTTGCCAAGCTGTGGAGAATAGATCCTTTCTGAGCCTGAAGAAAGCAGCAAGATAAAGTATTGTTAAACCACAGTTATTCTTGCTAGTAATTTCAGACTACAATTTTGGTTTATCTTTCAATCAGTCTTCCCCCTTGCTTTTCTCTATGTTTTGTTATCCCTGAGATAGCACTGAACCTCTCCAAAGAGACAGTTCAAGCCTCTAGCACTCATTATCTATCATGTGCTGTTTGGCAATAAATACAATAAATGACTGAGTCACAGTAATTGAAACAACAAGAGCACAGGAGGCTCCCTAGGGAAACAAAAGTATTTTTTCCAAAGTAGCAAGATGCAGTTACTGACATAGGGTAAGAAGAAGGCAGAAAGAAACCTGACCTTGTCAAGCTGACACTCTGCCTTGAGACTCTCATAGACCACAGCTTTACAGCAGCTTCCAGAGAAGGACCAGGGAGGACGGATGAACAGCCAGATAAAGGGGACTGCACACACATTCAGGTGCTCTGCCAAGCTGAAGTAGTGAGATGCCTTTATTCCGTTCACTTCTGCACGTCCGTGGCCCGTGATGGACACTGAACCAGAGAGAAAGCCAGGAATCAAGTGGAGTTTGTTCACAATGCCTGCTTGGCATTCAGTCAGGCCAAGACAGACAAGAGGAAACAATGAGGAAAAGGTTGAACTGTCTCTCATTTAGAGCCTTAGAAATCATGGAGGTTGCTAAAGAAGAAAAATCTTACTACAGTCAGGCTTTAGGAAGACATAACCTAAGTTGGGGGGTTCATTCTGCAAATACCAACTGCCAGGACCCTGTGTGAGGAGGCTCCTCCTGTCACTTGTCAGGTCCTTTTGATACATTTATCCCACTACCAAAGTAGTTCACAAGTTTGCAGTGGATAACTCCTAACCCTGAATTGCCAGGCTGTATCCTGCCCCATCACTGAACACATGGCAGCTTCGTGGCCAGTGCCTAAGCAGAGCAATGTAAAACTTCCTTGTGCTATGCCACGTTCCCCAAAGCCCCAGGACAAGCTCCCACACTTACGGCCTTCATTATACAGGTACGCCAAGCTCAACTTCACAGCAGCTTCAAAGTTACCACTTTCAGCAGCCCTGAAGGGCAGACAGAGAAAGCACTGGAGGTTAAAATCCTTCCTAGCACCAGAATCTCCAGTTTGGTCCTTGTGCCCTCAAGGACATCCATCAAAACATCAAGCCCTTGTATTCCTCCCTCCCCAGCTGATGTGCACATACTGGTCTGCCTCAAAAAGAAGTGACACTCAGAAGCAAAACCATTATCATGGCATTTAAACATGTTAAAGAAATCTCTGACACCAATGGATCCCCTTCAAAACAGATGGATAAAAAGATGTTCCTCATATTTTTAAAGCAGATTTATTGTTGCTGTTTCAAACTTTGTTACTGAAATTCACTTGTTTTTCAATACACTGGTTTGCACAAGAAGTGACCAAGCCAACTTAGACTTAGAAACAGGATTATTTTCTAGAACCCCTGACCCCACACGTTCATTCACATGGGAGCACCAGAAAGTGGTTTTAAGGAATGTGTTACATTACAATCTGGAATATTAATGCCTGTGAAGACAACTTTGGTATATGCAATAGGCCCTGCTCTGGTTAAAGAGACAGCAGTGATCAGCTGTAGCTTAGATCTCAAATCACATGTTTTTTCATTTCCAAAGCAAATATTTCCCCTCTTTGTACAACTCAGATCCCCCAATTACACTGAGGACTGATTAGAACAGTTAATCTTCCTTCAAACGTCCTCTTCTAAAAGGCCAGACAAATTTGATGTTTGACACTTACCTTTCAAACATCCTCAGATGGTTTGGAGATGGCCACAGGTCTTGGAAACTTGCATGTGCCCAAACACTGGAATGATTATCCACAAGGTATTTAAGATGTGAGTGCACCTGCAGGGAGGGAACACAAAATAATGATTAACAAAATAAAAGGAACAACAGAAAAACAGGTCTTTGCAATCTTATTTTAGAGAAGTAACTAATTCGTCACAAGTTATGTTTAACTTGTTGCCTGCCTCATAACCAGTAAGGCAAGAGATGCCAAACCAAACCCATTTGTTCAGCCACAGTAATCTGGCAGGACAATTACCACAGAAAAGGAACAAAAAGCAGTCAAATACTGCTGCTACTCTTAACTTGAGCAGTGAGAAATGAAAGTCCCTGGGACAGCAAAAATCTCAACCTTGCAGGCACTCTTTGGGTTTCTTCAGGCTCTGTGACATGAGAAGCCTGTTCTGTGTGCAGTCCAGGCTCCTGGAGGCAGAGCTGAGCACTGAGCCTGGCAGAGGGGAAGCTGCAGCACTTACAGCTCTGACTGAGAGGATGTCTGCAGCAGGGAGGCCCTTCAGGATGTGAAACAGAACATCCTCGGGGAGGTTCAAGAATGTCAGGACTCGAGGCCGTTTTATTACCCTTCTCTTTGAAGGGAAAGAAAAACATCTGGAACATCTACAGTGAACCACTGGAAAAGAGAAACACAGGACACCTCAGTTAGTGAGAGCATAAAGGCAAAAAGGTACTACATAGTATTACATATATACACAGGTGTTCACTTGAGCACCTCTTCACTGCAGTGCAGGACACTGCAAACACATTAACCAGGGATATATAGCTCATACCTCATTATGCCACAGAGCAGAAAGGGCTTGTTCAAATTGGTTAATGAAGCCAAGAGACTCAGAAGGGGTGGCTCAAGCTCAAGTGCTCTTCACCAAGAGCCCCTCTGAGCCCTGACTCCTGTGACCGTGTTTAGTAGCAGCAAACAGTTCAGCTGTCCCTGTTCAGTAGTAACAAATAGTTTAGCTGACACTACTGTCAATGCATTTACCTCCCCCATGCCCAACTTTTCCTTCTCAACTGACAGTAGTCTCTGGAACACAACCAGAGATATTAGGAAGACAACCAAACCTACTCAAGCCTATCTTTCCAAGCAGTTGCTACCAGGGGTGCTAATGGAAGACCCATTGCCTATATCTTCTGGAATATTATTTCAGTGCAATATTTATAGAAATACACACAAACACACATATATATGTATACAAAATGTACTATCCTCAGCAGTATTATTGCCATGAAAATGAAATAGACACCCAAACTGGGATGCCAGTTCAGCCTATATGAGCATCCAAATAGGGACCAGGGTGTAGATGAGCAACTCAGTGAAAACTCCATTTCTATAGACAGTATGTGGCACAGGTTGATTTCAAATATGTTGCTTCACGAAACCAGAGCGGTTTAGGCTGCAAGAGAGAACTCTGGGTGTCACCCAGTTCAGCTGTCCCGCCAAGTGGGGCAGGACCACATCCAGGTAGGTTTGAGCAACTCCAAGGATGTGGATCCCACAATTGCTCTGGCCAATCAATTACCATAGTTCAGGCATTCTTACAGTAAAAAAACACTTTCTCTGCCTCTTGAATGGGGCTTCCTGCACAGTCCTGCGCACGCTGCAAACTCACAGACGCCCGAGATGTTATCCCACGCGCAATACACATCTTGACCCCTTGGCTTTGAGGGCAGGCGCGCTTAGGCACAGCCGCCAGGCACAGCCACGGACGCCGTGGTCGCGGAAGGGCTGAGGCACGGCCCCGGCGGGGAGCACCGCACGGGCAGAGCCGGTCCCGAGCACCCACCGGGCCGGGCCGGGCCGGGCCGGACCGGGCCGGGCCGCCCCCGCCGCGTTTGAATTTGGGCGCGAAGCCGTTGGCCCGGCCCCAAAGCCCACTGCCGGTCCTTTAGCCCAGGCTCGGAGTATTCCGGTAACCCCCGCCCTCAGATCCCTCAGGAGGCGCCCGGCAGGCAGAACCCGCTCTGGAGCCGCCCCTCAGCGCAGGAAGGCCCGGGAAACAGCAGCACCCGCGGAGGCCGCGGGCAGAGCCGCACTCACCGCCCGCCTTCATCGTGGCGTGTCCGCGGGGACCGCGCGGACGGACACAGCGCCCTGCCCGGCTCCGAGAGAGCGGCCCGGGCGTAGGAGGAACCGGAGAGCCGCGGGCGGGCGGGGCCCGCGGGGCTGGCACGCCCCGCTCGCGGCGCGGGCGCGCCCAGTGGGCGCCGGGAGCGGCGGGAGCCCCGCCCGCCAGGCCCGCCCGCCGCGCCACCACCCCGCCCACCGCCCGCGCGCACTTGTTTTAAACACAGCAGCCTCTCTCATTGGCCAGGAGGCCTATGGGGGCGGGGCCGTTCCCGCCCCGCGCGCTGTGATTGGTCGGCGAGGATGCGAATTCGAATCGGGGCAGTTGGCGGTTCAAACCTGTGGCGCAGCAGCGCATGCGCGGGCGGCACGGCGCCCCCTGTCGTGCGGGGCGGTGCAGTGGGGCGGGGCCGCGGCGCTTCCCTCACGGGGCCGCCGCTGCGCTCCCGGGGTCTCGTTACGCCGGGCCGGCGGCGGCTGTGGGGCACGGCGGCGGCCCCGGCTCCCCCCGGGGATCAGGAGTCTCTTCTCCTCTCTCAGCCGTCCCTGCTGGTGCTTTGTCGCTCACAGTCACCTACACTTAGCCGAGGCTGCCTGGCCAAGGGAGCTGTTGAGGGGAGCAGTGGGGGCTTATTACTGCCTAATGATTTCCACCTTGAACATGCAGCGCCTGAGGGTGTCCGTGCTGGAGCTAAAGCACCGCGGAGGTGGTTGCGTGTCCCAGGCCGGCCTGGGGTAACCTGCCGGACAGCAGCTCTGCAGAGAAGGCTCTGGGGGTCACAACTGTCCCTGACCAGCCTTGTGTCCTGGGGCCAAGGTGGGGGATCCCGGGCTGGGAAGGGCACTGCCAGCAGGTCCGGGATGGGGTCCTGCCCACCTCTTCAGCCCTGCTGAGGCTCATCTGGAATGCTGTGTCCAGTTCTGGGCTCCTCAGGACAGGATGGACATGAAGATCCTGGAGTGAGTGTAGAACCATAGAATGAAAGGGACCTGAAGAACCATCCAGTTCCACTCCCTGCCATGGGCAGGGATGCCTTCCACTATCTTAGGTTGTTCCAACCCCTGTCCAGCCTGGACTTGAACACTTGGAGAGATGGGGTGGCCACAGCTTTTCTGGGCAGCCTGTGCCAGGGCTCATCTTGACAGCCAAGAATTTCTTCCTAATAAGCTAACCTTATCAGTGTGAAGCCATCCCCTCTTGTCCTCTCTTTCCAGGCCTGTGTCCCAGATACCTCTCCAATTGTCTTGAAGGCCCCTTAAATACTGGAAGGGGCTCTAAGGTCTCCCTGGAGCCTTCTCCAGGCTGAACACCCCCAGCTCTCCCAGCCTGGCTCCAGAGCAAGAGGGTTCCAGCTCTTGCAGCATCTCCATTGCTTCCTATGGACCTGCTCCAGCAGGTCCACAGAGGGAAGGTGATAAAGGGACTGGAGCATCTCCCTGCTGAGGAAAGGCTGAGGGAGCTGGGGCTGTTCAGCCTCAAGAGGACACACAGCTGAGAGTGGCCCTCATCTATATCTGTCAGTGTCTGCAGGGAGAGGTCAGAGCATAAGAGGGGGGTCCAGCACAAAAGGCAATGGGCAAAAAGTAAAGTACAGGATATTCCACCTGAACATGAGAAAGAACTTTTCTGTGCATGTGACTGAGCACTAAAGAGACTCCCCAGAGAGGGGGTGGACTTTCCCTCGGTGGAGATAATCAAAACCCACCTGGACACGATCCTATGTCATGGGACCCTTCTTGAGCAGGGAGGTGGGACCATTTGATCCACTGTGGTCTTTTACAGCCTGAACCATTCCATGATTCCTGCTGGGGGAAGGAGCCAGGGTCTGCCTGGACAGAGTCTGTTTCTGATGTCCTGAGCTGCAACCTTGCCCCATCCCTTCCCAGCACACCTCTGTTCCTGGCCTTCTGTGGGGGTGAGGGGGAATTAGGCAAACAACTGGGAATCGAAGTTCAAACCTCAGTACGGGATTCAGAGGAAAGGCAAAGGGCAGAGTGGGACAAGGAGGTGTATTGAAAAGACTGGCAGGCAAACAAAACAATGTAGGGAAAAGCAGATATCGAGTTAGTTCGGCTGAATTTTAAGACTCATAAGACTTAAAAGCAGTGAAAAGAGGAGCTCTTGTTTTATAGAACAGGAAATGTCTGCACCCCAATTACTGGTGGCTGGAAACTTTCCCAGCATTGTACCTTGAATAAACATCATCAGTCCCGGCAGAGCTGAGGTTTCTTCATGCTAGCGTGTATGAGATTTGTTTGAAGATTTTACCAACACTTCTCATTGTTAGAACATGAACTTCTGAATGCTTCTCTGCACCCGCACCCTTTCACCTGCAAGGGGTTGGAATAGCTTTGAAATCTCAATAGAGATCTCATTTTATGGTTGGGGAGGCTGAGCTTGAGTAGCCTGATGGCTTCTCTGAGCCCACCCCACAGCGCTGGCCACGCTGGACCTTTCACCTCCTGCACTGTCCCCCAGTCCCATGAGGTGACCCCTGAGGGAGGAGCAACTGTGGACAGTCTTTCTCCTGTGCAGCCCCACCTCCACTTCCATCTGTGAAACTGTGTCATGTTCCTGGGAGCACAGCAGCTGCCAGCATGGCAAACTGACACCAGGAGCACAGGGAATATTTAGATTCTTTTAATTGAGAAGCAATTTTGAGTTAAAAAGTTAATCATGCTGTCAGCTTCTGTTCCTCATTTTTTCTCCCCCTCACAGCTGTTTCTGTCAACTAAAAATAAATTGAACCAGCAAACAAAATGTGAATAATCAGCTGCCTACAGAGATTTCAGATCCCAGCAAGAGATCCCAGCTCCTTGGGTGATCTGCAGTGCAGAGTCATCTCAGGTAGATCCCATTCTTCCCAAACATGACAGCAGAAGAGGAAGGCAGGGCATGGAGAGGGTTATATTTGAGGGACAGGAATAACCAAAACTTAAGTGGGCACTGGGAGGTGGGAGGTGAGATTCTCAGCAGCAGTACATCTTGGCCTGATTTGTTCTTTCCTGAATAGGATGGCAGGACCTCCAGGTGGTTTTATCACTGACAGACAAGCCGGAGCAGAGGCTGACGGGTGTGAAGTGGGACTTGTGTTACCTGAACACAGCCATCTGACTCCGCTGAGCCTGTGCCTTGTAACCCCTGCTCAGAGGCGGCAGGCAGGGCAGGAGCGGGACCTGCACATTCACCAACGCGCAGCCGGTCCTGGGTGGGATACACCATCCTAAACACACCTGCACCAATTGGGAAGCCTCTACACATCGAAGAGTCAGTCACTACAGAGGAGAAGGCAGATTTGTGCATGTTTTAATTGGTATTGCCAAGTCTTGAGCTGGATTTCAGTTTAGAGAGGGACTTTTCACAACGGGGAAAGGCCTTAAGCCATTCTTAAGCCTTGTCCTATCACTGTCCTTATCACACACCTGTGAGGGTGCCGAGGCCTGTCGCTGTCGAGGCAGGATGAGAATGAAGAGACTCTGATTCAGAAGGCTGTTGAGAGTAATACTCTGATTTATTCAAAATACACCGCTCTTTTATACAGAGCTTCCCAAGGACCAAATCCATTGGTTCTGAAGTGAAAACAACCCACCACCATTGGTGCAGAGTGCTTGACACACAGTGATAGAACTTAACTATAAACAATGTGAAAAACAAGAGAGATAAAGAATTACTTACATTCTTTCCCAGCATTTTCCCAGGCTTTTTGCCTGGCTAGAAACTCTCCATTTCTTTCTTTGACTGAATCTGAGACCCACAGAGGCCCTGGCACAGGTTGCCCAGAGCAGCTGTGGCTGCCCCATCCCTGGCAGTGTTCAAGGCCAGTTTGAAGAGATCTTGGGGCCACCTGGGATAGTGGAAGGTGTCCCTACCCATGAAATGGGATGAGCTTTAAGGTCCCTTCAACCCAAACCATTCTGGGATTCAATGATTTCCTATATATGCCTTTTCCTCCACTGAAGAGCCTGCAGAGTGTTGTGTTTCTCCTCAATCCAAATGGCTCCTCATTTCCTTCTCTTCTGCTAGCTCTGGAACTGAAGGTAAATACAACAAAGACATTTTATTTGCCTTGATTGCTGTGATTAAGCAAAACTCAACACAGGTGTAACACTTACTCATGGTTCTGCCAAACCTGGGATTCTCTGGGGGCAAGAGTTGTTACCAGCTCCAGTTTCACTCAAGGTGTTGATCCCTCTTCTGAAGAGATCCAAGGGCCTGAGACCATGGAATCTAAGCAAGACATCCAACAGCAATATTCTCCTAGGAAAACTGAAAATTTGTTCAAAATATCTCTTAGCCAGGAAATATCAGCTCCACTTTCACAAATCCATGTGAGAAAGATGTTCATTGCTACACACATCATTGCTCACTTGCTGCCTCTGCCAATTCAGCCTTTAAAGCCTCTTCAGGCATGTGTGAAAATGTCTCCTATTTTTCCACTCAATTTGTATATTGTGATCAGATTCAAATGTGCAGATTTTAAGGAAAGAGCAAAGATAAAGAATTTCAGTCAAATAGGTTTTTGAGAGTGATATAAACAAAGATCAATGTAGCACCCCTTCTACAAAAAGCTGTATTTAGACATTTGGAGTGTTCAGTATGGTGAAAAAGATTCAGACAAGCACCTGAACGCTGGAGATTGTGTTACACACCATTGCAAAAGTAATTTCATTTATATAGACAGTGAAATGATATCTGCCTCATTGCACAGCAGAGCTGTGTGATTTGCAGAGGTTTTTTGCCCAGATTAACACTGTCCAAGATAGTTCCAGAACTAAAAACAAAAGGGCTACATAGAAGTTAATCAGCCAAGCTGAAACCTGATAATAATTAGGTGAGCTGCAGCAATGTCCCAGCTATGCTGCCTTCAGGATCCAGCACTTCTGCAGGGCCTGACTTGATGCTGTCATGGCCTGCAGGTGCCTGAGGCTTGGGGGAAAAGCGAGGAACAGGGAGCAACTTCATTACAATTTGTACATGGTCTGTGATTACTCAATCAATGAACATGAGAGTTTTATATTAGAACGGCCCAAGAATGTGTTCTAACAGTTGTA